AAGAACGCGTCTATCACCCGTGGGAAGCAGAGAGAAGAAGCCACCTGTTGCCACTCCAAGATGCTTGGGCAGGTCTTCCACCTTTCCGCCACAGAGGCTAGCAGACGTGCCTGGCCAGAGAGGGCACTCGGTCAACTTCTCACTAGCCTGTTGAGTGGCCTGCACGCGCTGGAGGATACAGCGGAGCAAAGCCCGGCCTGCCCACCTACTTTTGCCTTGGCCATCCGCACCTGCTTCTTAGGCATCTCCAGCTATCTGGAGGGAAAGCGATACAGCCCTTGCTCCTGGGAGATTGTCAGAGCAGAAATGCAAGTGGCCCTTTCTGCATTGCCTGTGCCTGAAGAGAGAAGCCCCAAGAAGAGAAGAAGTGCCATGCAGGAATCCCCACCTGAGGTCTCAGCATTCTCAGGGCCTCAAGCCACAGCGCACAGGCAGAGTCCAATCCAGCAAGAGAAGAAAGGGGTCTGAGTCCATCCATGCTTTTTAAAGTATCTTCTACATCATGATCTACGAAGAATATGTGAATGAATTGTGTGTGTGTGTGTGTGTGTGTGTGTGTGTGTGTGTGTGTTCGTGTTTGCTACCAAATCCATTTCCTAATAAAATGATAGTACCAAATCTCTTTGACTGATTTCAATTCCTGGTGGGAGTTTGACATGTGCTACAGGAGATGTACATGTGGCTTTCTATTGGTATGGTTTTTACAGGTGTCGCCCGATTGGAGCCATTAGTCCGAGGGTCAGCAGGTATTGCTTCCTTCTATTAGCTAGTAAACCAAGACTCTGCATCTGGAGTAAGAAGGCTGACTCCTCTTGGCTCCTTGATGCTGCCCTAGGAGGAACTGGCGAGACACCCCCCCGGATGAATGCTGGCATGGAACCCCTGCAAGTATTGGGTCTTTCTTGTCTAAGTGCCTTCAAGTACACAGCACCAGCTGTGTCCCTGGCATTGACACGATGGATGGCTCTCTCTTGCAGAGGAGAAAGGGGCCAACGATTCACCTGAGGTGGTGATGTACCTTGCCGAGGTGACTAGACAGTACTGAGATTACTGGAGACACAAATGGACTCTGCTCTGTCCAGCCAGCCTGCTTCTGTTCTCAGGGGACAGTGCCTTGTGGCTACCAGCCTGGAGCAGGCTACTGGCTGACCAGAGGCAGGAAGGGTCAGGAGTTTGATCACAAAGGACACTTCCTGGTCACCCTGTTTGTGGTCCTGATACTTTAAGGTGATCAGACATGGCTCTGATGCTTTCCCTTTCATGTCTCCTGTGGTGACAAACAGAGGGTATGTGAAAAGTCAGTCTGGGCCTGGTTTGAAGATTGAGACTCACAGAACCACGTCACCTATTGACATTCACAGCCTCTTTGTGCCTTTCAAGAAGCAGTACATTGGACAGGCCAACGGAGGGGTCAAAGGTGTAGAGTGGAGGGAGAGGGAAAGTCTTGGGATGGTTGGTGTGGGGTCATTGAGGCAAGGGCACCCATGCACAAACTGACCCAATGGCAACAGAAAGTGGAGAAAATCCCGATCATGTAAGGCCTGCAGGGCACAGGATGAGCAGGACACAGCACTGGCTAGCCGAGGAGCCTTGCCTTCTTCACTGGGCCCTCTTGCCTAGATCCAGGGCTGGGGAGGCCCAGGAATGGCAGGGTTTGGCGTGCAGCATGCAGGATGCGACAGTATTCGGGCCCTCGACCGGGTACTGCATTCTGGCCTCTGAGCTGATGCCCATTAAGAGCCACTAAGAAGTGAAGGCTGGCTTCGGGTCCCCTCCTCTCTGTCCCCTTTGCCTTGTCAGCTGTGTGTCACATTTTCTTCCCAGGCTGCCCATACTGATCTGTTCCCCAGCAGAGGCAGAATACCCAGGACACAACACCAAGGTGAAACACAGCTTGAGGACCCATCTGTGGCCAGTCTGCTCACAGATCTTTCCTATGAGCTACTGGGGAGGGGCTCTGCAGGAGCTGAGCCCTCCCCCTGCCCAATGGTCCCCCTTTATGCCCTCAAAAGCATACAGCCATGCCTATTGCAGGCTCAGGTCATCCCTGGCCCAGTTGTGCAGCTTCAGACTTGAAAGACACCTAAGACGATCAGCAACCCACATGCCACCTCCTTGCCACTACAACCACCACCCTGGCTTGTTTAAAATGGTAGCATAGTCAATAATAAACCCAGAATACCCAGTGTAGCACAGCCAGATAGAGGCAGTTCATCAGCTGTCAACCCTTGCTCCCAGCCTGTGCCTCTCTAACTTGAGGTAGGTGGAAGAGATGCTGGGCATACTGAGCACTGGGTTCTGAAACATTCCAGTGCCCTGTGCTCCCCCAGGTCCCCCATTAAAGTGCCAAGGCTGTGTCAGTTCCTGTGTTGCGAGTCCCTGCGATCGTCTTGTTCGGTGTCTGGAGTTGTTGTGAACTTAGACACAGTGGTGCTTCCCACACTCCTAGTCTTCTGGAAAACTACCTGCCCTTGTGTTGTGTGCTGCTGTTGTGCGGATACATAGCGCCCCCAAGTAGAGTGTCAGCTGGCTGCCCCCGGTAGCCATGAAGTGGCCTGGGGTAGAAGAGTATGTGGCTGAGCAAGGTTGGCTCTTCCTGGAGTAAGTAGCTCAGCCTGTGCTGCCCAGGACTCTCCTCCTGCCTCAGTGGCTACAGGGATAGCCGTCACTCTGAGCTTTGGACTCCAGTGTCTCAGCTGCTGGAACTGGGTGCCACTCGGCTCTTCCTTGGAGACTGGACATCATGCACAGTCTCAGGCTGTTACTCTGGTAAGAATTTGAAGCTGCTGGGGAGACCCAGAGGAAACCAAAGGTTCAAGGAGGACATGAAAGCATCGGTGTCCCTCTTGTAGGTGGGCAGTGCCTGTGTGGCATATGCCTGAGGCACCCATGCACACCTGCTCTGAAGAAGAACATGCTCGGCTCCTTGGTCTGGACCAACTCCCTGGTGATGGAGGATTGGCACAGAGGGCCAGGGACCTTGAAAATCAGGAGAGGAGTGCCCTATGAAAGAATTAGGACAGCTTGGATGGTGCCTTGTACTTTTGGAGCCCATTGCCGCCCTTACCTGTGTCCATCACCCTCACTTGTCCTGCTTTGTTCAGTTGTGAGAAGTTAAGGTAGACTGTGTCTTCCTTCCCTAACTCCAGCATAGGGAAATCGGACTGTCAGTGAGACATAGAGTAGCCCCACTTATTTGCTTCACTTGCAGGCACACAGATACCTATCTGCTCAGGGGATTCCACGCTCAAGATTTGAGACAACAGAGTTCAGTTTAGCAAACAGCTTATATCAGAAGCTCGAAGCCATTGCCTTACACTTTCCTCGTGGCTCAAGTGCTGCCTGAGTCCAGGCCCACCTACTGTTGTCATTCTGGGACTGGAAACCTGCTGAACCGGGAGGCCATGGTGTTCATGAGAAAAGTGGGAAAAGTCCCCTCCTTCTGGTGCCTGAAAGGCATTAAGGACTCTTGGTTTCTTCAGGAATCTGATGGCCAGCTAGTGGAGGAAACTTGTACAATCCTTGTCCTCTGGCTTAGAGGTTATCAGTGTCCTCTCCTGGTGTGGCCAGACAGTGCCCTGGTCATGTTCTGCTCTGGACTTCTGCACCAGCTCTCTTTCCTGTCAGCCTGTGTGCTACAACTGGTAGACCCATCCTGACATCTGTGGCATTTACTTCAGATCTACCAGTCTGTGGAGATGCAGGTGCTCTCCAGGAATACTGCCTGGGGGGGGATAAGAGGGGGAAATGAGGCTCAGGGAACTAGTGAAATTCTGATGGATCACCTCTGCCTCAATTTTTCTGGACTGCTTCATTGCAAACTTCATAATAACAGTAGTGACACTAACTGAAAGAGAAAAGGTCCACAGGGACTGTAACTCGAGGACTGATTGTGAACATTTTGCGACTATTCAGCTAAAGACACAGCTGAAATGGTTAACGTATTAAAAATAGTATAGCATTACTTTACCTAAAGAAATGGTTAAAAAAAAAAACTAAAAAAAAAGACCAAAAAAAAAAAAAAAAACCAAAACAAAAACCAAAAAAAAAAAAAAGAAAAAAAAAAAAAAAAAAAAAAAGAAAAGAAAAGAAAAGAAAAAAATCAAAAAGAAAAAAGGAAAGAAAAGAAACATGAAAACCACAGCTACCTAGTGAAAAAAGTCACTAAAGGAAGCTGAGAACAAGAGGACACAGCACACTGATCCCGGGAGGGTGAGAAACTTGTGTTTAGTTCCAGAGTGACAGATGATCTCACAAGTAGCAGAAAGAGACAGGGGTACTAAAAAGGAAGCACTCTGAGTCAGAGCCAGAGCCTTTGGGACCGGAAATGCCCTTCTGGTGGATGGTGGATGGTGCATGGTGAATGGTGGATGTGGGGTTTAAGCCAAGAAAGACAGGGAACTGCCCAGAAGGAGAGCTATCCTCCTGGTTGAAGTTCCACTTGGCTCCAGTGAGAACTGCTCCAGTGGTGCAGGCAGGGCGTGCCTCCTCCACAAAGTGTCCTCTCTGGGACCCTCTTCCTTTCCCGGACCAACCGCGGTCTTTCCCACCCCCACTTCATGTTCACCGCTCCCACACCCTGGCTCCCCGCTCCAGCCCAAGGGAGCTAGAAGCCTACCTTGCCCCCAGACACACCACTCTGACATGGAGACCCGAGAAAACTCGCACCAAAGTAAGGCTCCCAGGGATTTGGAGTCTGCACTTCGCCCCTGCAATGTGTCCTCTGTCCCGCCAAGTCCCTGTGGAGCTAGGTTCCAGGCCGAGGACGTTCGAATCCGCAGAACGCAGCAGGCAGCAGGCCAGCATTCGGGCTCGTGTGTCGCCAGGCTAGGAGCCCAAAGGACTCACAGGGACCCATTGCGCTACTACTGTCTATCAGAGCCCCAAGTGCACTATTAAAGCAGCAGCAAGATCTCCAGGCTCAATGGGTCTGCCTGGAGCCTTGAGTTACGCGAGCGCGCGCACCCTGCCGGCCAGATCCGGAATCGTTAGGCTTGGCCATGGTGCCTGTACTTGCTCTCCTGCTGGGGTTGATGCTGGACTGCAGCACAGCCTGCTCACTTGACAGAGGCACCTTTTGGAGACTGCGCTGGCAGCGCATTGAAACTCTAGGCTTCTTAGGAGAGCTGAAAACCACGCCGGTTGTCTGGTGCCTGCAGGACAGAAACGATTTCAGATGTCCCTGGAAGAACGCGTCTATCACCCGTGGGAAGCAGAGAGAAGAAGCCACCTGTTGCCACTCCAAGATGCTTGGGCAGGTCTTCCACCTTTTCGCCACAGAGGCTAGCAGACGTGCCTGGCCAGAGAGGGCACTCGGTCAACTTCTCACTAGCCTGTTGAGTGGCCTGCACGCGCTGGAGGATACAGCGGAGCAAAGCCCGGCCTGCCCACCTACTTTTGCCTTGGCCATCCGCACCTGCTTCTTAGGCATCTCCAGCTATCTGGAGGGAAGCGATACAGCCCTTGCTCCTGGGAGATTGTCAGAGCAGAAATGCAAGTGGCCCTTTCTGCATTGCCTGTGCCTGAAGAGAGAAGCCCCAAGAAGAGAAGAAGTGCCATGCAGGAATCCCCACTGAGGTCTCAGCATTCTCAGGGCCTCAAGCCACAGCGCACAGGCAGAGTCCAATCCAGCAAGAGAAGAAAGGGGTCTGAGTCCATCCATGCTTTTTAAAGTATCTTCTACATCATGATCTCCGAAGAATATGTGAATGAATTGTGTGTGTGTGTGTGTGTGTGTGTGTGTGTGTGTGTGTGTTCGTGTTTGCTACCAAATCCATTTCCTAATAAAATGATAGTACCAAATCTCTTTGACTGATTTCAATTCCTGGTGGGAGTTTGACATGTGCTACAGGAGATGTACATGTGGCTTTCTATTGGTATGGTTTTTACAGGTGTCGCCGATTGGAGCCATTAGTCCGAGGGTCAGCAGGTATTGCTTCCTTCTATTAGCTAGTAAACCAAGACTCTGCATCTGGAGTAAGAAGGCTGACTCCTCTTGGCTCCTTGATGCTGCCCTAGGAGGAACTGGCGAGACACCCCCGGATGAATGCTGGCATGGAACCCCTGCAAGTATTGGGTCTTTCTTGTCTAAGTGCCTTCAAGTACACAGCACCAGCTGTGTCCCTGGCATTGACACGATGGATGGCTCTCTCTTGCAGAGGAGAAAGGGGCCAACGATTCACCTGAGGTGGTGATGTACCTTGCCGAGGTGACTAGACAGTACTGAGATTACTGGAGACACAAATGGACTCTGCTCTGTCCAGCCAGCCTGCTTCTGTTCTCAGGGGACAGTGCCTTGTGGCTACCAGCCTGGAGCAGGCTACTGGCTGACCAGAGGCAGGAAGGGTCAGGAGTTTGATCACAAAGGACACTTCCTGGTCACCCTGTTTGTGGTCCTGATACTTTAAGGTGATCAGACATGGCTCTGATGCTTTCCCTTTCATGTCTCCTGTGGTGACAAACAGAGGGTATGTGAAAAGTCAGTCTGGGCCTGGTTTGAAGATTGAGACTCACAGAACACGTCACCTATTGACATTCACAGCCTCTTTGTGCCTTTCAAGAAGCAGTACATTGGACAGGCCAACGGAGGGGTCAAAGGTGTAGAGTGGAGGGAGAGGGAAAGTCTTGGGATGGTTGGTGTGGGGTCATTGAGGCAAGGGCACCCATGCACAAACTGACCCAATGGCAACAGAAAGTGGAGAAAATCCCGATCATGTAAGGCCTGCAGGGCACAGGATGAGCAGGACACAGCACTGGCTAGCCGAGGAGCCTTGCCTTCTTCACTGGGCCCTCTTGCCTAGATCCAGGGCTGGGAGGCCCAGGAATGGCAGGGTTTGGGCGTGCAGCATGCAGGATGCGACAGTATTCGGGCCCTCGACCGGGTACTGCATTCTGGCCTCTGAGCTGATGCCCATTAAGAGCCACTAAGAAGTGAAGGCTGGCTTCGGGTCCCCTCCTCTCTGTCCCCTTTGCCTTGTCAGCTGTGTGTCACATTTTCTTCCCAGGCTGCCCATACTGATCTGTTCCCCAGCAGAGGCAGAATACCCAGGACACAACACCAAGGTGAAACACAGCTTGAGGACCCATCTGTGGCCAGTCTGCTCACAGATCTTTCCTATGAGCTACTGGGGAGGGCTCTGCAGGAGCTGAGCCCTCCCCCCTGCCCAATGGTCCCCCTTTATGCCCTCAAAAGCATACAGCCATGCCTATTGCAGGCTCAGGTCATCCCTGGCCCAGTTGTGCAGCTTCAGACTTGAAAGACACCTAAGACGATCAGCAACCCACATGCCACCTCCTTGCCACTACAACCACCACCCTGGCTTGTTTAAAATGGTAGCATAGTCAATAATAAACCCAGAATACCCAGTGTAGCACAGCCAGATAGAGGCAGTTCATCAGCTGTCAACCCTTGCTCCCAGCCTGTGCCTCTCTAACTTGAGGTAGGTGGAAGAGATGCTGGGCATACTGAGCACTGGGTTCTGAAACATTCCAGTGCCCTGTGCTCCCCCAGGTCCCCCATTAAAGTGCCAAGGCTGTGTCAGTTCCTGTGTTGCGAGTCCCTGCGATCGTCTTGTTCGGTGTCTGGAGTTGTTGTGAACTTAGACACAGTGGTGCTTCCCACACTCCTAGTCTTCTGGAAAACTACCTGCCCTTGTGTTGTGTGCTGCTGTTGTGCGGATACATAGCGCCCCCAAGTAGAGTGTCAGCTGGCTGCCCCGGTAGCCATGAAGTGGCCTGGGGTAGAAGAGTATGTGGCTGAGCAAGGTTGGCTCTTCCTGGAGTAAGTAGCTCAGCCTGTGCTGCCCAGGACTCTCCTCCTGCCTCAGTGGCTACAGGGGATAGCCGTCACTCTGAGCTTTGGACTCCAGTGTCTCAGCTGCTGGAACTGGGTGCCACTCGGCTCTTCCTTGGAGACTGGACATCATGCACAGTCTCAGGCTGTTACCTGGTAAGAATTTGAAGCTGCTGGGAGACCCAGAGGAAACCAAAGGTTCAAGGAGGACATGAAAGCATCGGTGTCCCTCTTGTAGGTGGGCAGTGCCTGTGTGGCATATGCCTGAGGCACCCATGCACACCTGCTCTGAAGAAGAACATGCTCGGCTCCTTGGTCTGGACCAACTCCCTGGTGATGGAGGATTGGCACAGAGGGCCAGGGACCTTGAAAATCAGGGAGAGGAGTGCCCTATGAAAGAATTAGGACAGCTTGGATGGTGCCTTGTACTTTTGGAGCCCATTGCCGCCCTTACCTGTGTCCATCACCCTCACTTGTCCTGCTTTGTTCAGTTGTGAGAAGTTAAGGTAGACTGTGTCTTCCTTCCCTAACTCCAGCATAGGGAAATCGGACTGTCAGTGAGACATAGAGTAGCCCCCACTTATTTGCTTCACTTGCAGGCACACAGATACCTATCTGCTCAGGGGATTCCACGCTCAAGATTTGAGACAACAGAGTTCAGTTTAGCAAACAGCTTATATCAGAAGCTCGAAGCCATTGCCTTACACTTTCCTCGTGGCTCTAGTGCTGCCTGAGTCCAGGCCCACCTACTGTTTTCATTCTGGGACTGGAAACCTGCTGAACCGGGAGGCCATGGTGTTCATGAGAAAAGTGGGAAAAGTCCCCTCCTTCTGGTGCCTGAAAGGCATTAAGGACTCTTGGTTTCTTCAGGAATCTGATGGCCAGCTAGTGGAGGAAACTTGTACAATCCTTGTCCTCTGGCTTAGAGGTTATCAGTGTCCTCTCCTGGTGTGGCCAGACAGTGCCCTGGTCATGTTCTGCTCTGGACTTCTGCACCAGCTCTCTTTCCTGTCAGCCTGTGTGCTACAACTGGTAGACCCATCCTGACATCTGTGGCATTTACTTCAGATCTACCAGTCTGTGGAGATACAGGTGCTCTCCAGCAATACTGCCTGGGGGGATAAGAGGGGAAAATGAGGCACCGGGAACTAGTGAAATTCTGATGGATCACCTCTGCCTCAATTTTTCTGGACTGCTTCATTGCAAACTTCATAGTAACAGTAGTGACACTAACTGAAAGAGAAAAGGTCCAGAGGGAGTGTAACTCGAGGACTGATTGTGAACATTTTGCGACTATTCAGCTAAAGACACAGCTGAAATGGTTAACGTATTAAAAATAGTATAGCATTAGTTTACCTAAAGAAATGGTTAAAAAAAAAAAAAACCAAAAAAAAAGACCAAAGGAAAAAAAAACCAAAAGCAAAATCAAAAACAAAACCTACCAAAAAAAAAAAAAAAAAAAAAAAAACGAAAAGAAAAGAAAAGAAAAAATTCAAAAAGAAAAGAGAAAAGGAAAGAAAAGAAACATGAAAACCACAGCTACCTAGTGAAAAAAGTCACTTGAAGGAAGCTGAGAACAAGAGGACACAGCACACTGATCCCGGGAGGGTGAGAAACTTGTGTTTAGTTCCAGAGTGACAGATGATCTCACAAGCAGCAGAAAGAGACATGGGTACTAAAAAGGAAGCACTCTGAGTCAGAGCCAGAGCCTTTGGGACCAGAAATGCCCTTATGGTGGATGGTGGATGGTGCATGGTGAATGGTGGATGTGGGGTTTAAGCCAAGAAAGACAGGGAACTGCCCAGAAGGAGAGCTATCCTCCTGGTTGAAGTTCCACTTGGCTCCAGTGAGAACTGCTTCAGTGGTTCAGGCAGGGCGTGCCTCCTCCACAAAGTGTCCTCTCTGGGACCCTCTTCCTTTCCCGGACCAACCGCGGTCTTTCCCACCCCCACTTCATGTTCACCGCTCCCACACCCTGGCTCCCCGCTCCAGCCCAAGGGAGCTAGAAGCCTACCTTGCCCCCAGACACACCACTCTGACATGGAGACCCGAGAAAACTCGCACCAAAGTAAGGCTCCCCGGGATTTGGAGTCTGCACTTCTCCCCTGCAATGTGTCCTCTGTCCCGCCAAGTCCCTGTGGAGCTAGGTTCCAGGCCGAGGACATTCGAATCCGCAGAACGCAGCAGGCAGCAGGCCAGCATTCGGGCTCGTGTGTCGCCAGGCTAGGAGCCCAAAGGACTCACAGGGACCCATTGCGCTACTACTGTCTATCAGAGCCCCAAGTGCACTATTAAAGCAGCAGCAAGATCTCCAGGCTCAATGGGTCTGCCTGGAGCCTTGAGTTACGCGAGCGCGCGCACCCTGCCGGCCAGCTCCGGAATCGTTAGGCTTGGCCATGGTGCCTGTACTTGCTCTCCTGCTGGGGTTGATGCTGGACTGCAGCACAGCCTGCTCACTTGACAGAGGCACCTTTTGGAGACTGCGCTGGCAGCGCATTGAAACTCTAGGCTTCTTAGGAGAGCTGAAAACCACGCCGGTTGTCTGGTGCCTGCGGGACAGAAACGATTTCAGATGTCCCTGGAAGAACGCGTCTATCACCCGTGGGAAGCAGAGAGAAGAAGCCACCTGTTGCCACTCCAAGATGCTTGGGCAGGTCTTCCACCTTTTCGCCACAGAGGCTAGCAGAAGTGCCTGGCCAGAGAGGGCACTCGGTCAACTTCTCACTAGCCTGTTGAGTGGCCTGCACGCGCTGGAGGATACAGCGGAGCAAAGCCAGGCCTGCC